GGTAATCAGACTGTGTTATATCCATTCGATGGAATACTAATCAGCATAAAAAGAACAAACAACTGATGCACATAGCACATGTATGAATCACAAATGTGTTACACTGAGTTAAAGATGCAAACTCAAAAGGCTTCATGCTATATAATCGATTCCATTGATACGACATTCTGGAAACACTACAGTAGTTGCCAAGGGCTGGGGGTAAGGGGAAAGGTTAACTACAAAGGAGCAAAAAGGAATATTTTAAGATCGCTGGAAATGTACTATTGATTGTAATGGTGGCTACACAAAGTATGTATTCATAAAAATTTACAGAACTACACTAAAAGGGAAATTTTGTTTGTAAATTAAACTTCAATAAACTTTAATTTGAAACAAAATTTATTTTATTTAATTTATTTATTTTTTAGACAGAGTCTTACTCTGTTGCCCAGCCCAGAGTGCAGTGATGCGATCTCAGCTCACTGCAACCTCTGCCTCCTGGTTCAAGCGATTCTCCTGCCTCAGACTCCTGAGTAACTGTGATTACAGGTGTGTGTCACCATACCCAGCTAATTTTTGCATTTTTAGTAGAGGCAGGGTTTTGCCATGTTGACCAGGCTGGTCTCAAACTCCTGACCTCAAGTGACCCGCCTATTTCGGCCTCCCAAAATGCTGGGATTACAGGCGTGAGCCACTGCACCAGGCCAATAATTTTAATTAACCTTCAATTAACCAACAATTTTAACCTTTAATTAACCAATAATTTTAATTTAACCTTAATTTGAATAAAATTATGATACAGTCATACAATTGTATATTATGCATTCATTTAAAAAATGAAGTGGATCCATATATGTGGGTAATATAATAATCTCTAACCTATATTCTTAGGAGTAAAAAGGAAGGTACATGATATAGTTTGGATAATTGTCCTCACTCAAATCTCATGTAGAAATGTAATCCCCAATGTTGGAGGTGGGGCCTGGTGGGATTGGATCACGGAGGTTGATTTCTCAAGAATGGTTTAGCACCGTTCCCGTGTGATAGTGAGTGAATTCTCACAATATCTAGTTGTTTAAAAGTGTGTGGCACCTCCCCTCTCTCACTTGCTCTTACTTTTGCCACATGACATGCCTGCTCTCCATTTGCCTTCTGCCATGATTGTAAGCTTTCTGATGCCTCCCTAGAAGGTAAGCAGATGCCAGCACCACACTTCCTGTAAAGCCTGCAGAACTGTGAGCCAATGAAACCTCTTTCTTTATAATTTAGCCAATCTCAGATATTTCGTTGTAGCAATGCAAGAATGGCCTAATACATAAAATTGGTACCAGGAGTAAGGTATTGTTAGAAAGATACCTGAAAATGTGGAAATGACTTCGGAACTGGGTAATGGATAGAGGTTGGAAGAGTTTGGAGGGCTCACAAGAAGACAGGAAGATGAGGGCAAGTTTGGAACTTCTTAGAGACTGGTTAAATGGTTGTAACCAAAATATTGATAGGGATATGGACAATGAAATCTAGGCCAACAAGGTCTCAGATTGAAATGAGGAACTCACTGGGAAATGAGGCAAAGGTCATAACATGTTATGCCTTAGCAAAGAGCTTGGTTGCACTGTGCCCTTTTCCAAGGGATCTGTGGAAGTTTGAACTTGAGAGTGATGATTGCGTATCTGGCAGAAGAAATTTCTAAGCCACAAAGCATTCAAGATATGACTGGCTGCTCCTAAGAGCTTACACTCAGATACGGGTGCAAGTAAATGACTTAAAGTTGGAATTTATATTGAAAAGCGAAGTAGAACATAAAAATTGGGAAAATTTGCAGCCAAGTCACATGGCAAAGAAAGAAAAAGCTTTTTCAGAAGAGGAATTCAAGCAGGCTGTGGAGTAACCACTTGCTAGAGACATTTGCATAACTAAAAAATAACCAAGTGCTAATATCTAAGACAACAGGGAAAAAGCCTCAAAGGCATTTTAGAGATTTTTGAGGTAGCCCCTTCCATCATAGTTCCTGAGGCCCAGGAGACAAAAATGGTTTCATGGGTCGGGCCCAGGGCCTGGCCCCTATGCAACCTCAGGACACTGCTCCCCACATCCTGGCTGCTCCAGCTCTAGCCATGTCTCAAAAAGGGCAAGGTACAGCTCAGGCTGCCACTTTGGAGAATGCAAGCTGCAAGCTTTGACAGCTTCCATGTGGTGTTAAGAGTGCACAGACTGCAAGAATGGAGGATTCTTGGATGCTTCCACCTAGATTTCAGAGGATGTATGGAAAAGCCTGGCTGCCCAAGCAAAAGCCTGCTGCAGGAGTACAGCCCTCACAGAGAACCTCTACTAGGGCAGTGTGGAGGGGAAATGTGAGATTGGAGCCCTCACACAGGGTCCCCACTGGGAAACTGCCTTGTGGAGCTGTGAGAAGGGGGCCACATCCTCTAGTCCCCAGAATGGTAAATCCACCAGCAGTTTACACCCTGCACCTGAAAAAGCCTCAGGCACTCAATGCCAGCCCGTGAGAGCAGCCGCAGGGACTGCACTCTGCAAAGCCACAGGGGCAGAGCTGCCCAAGATCTTGGGAGCCCACTTCTTGCACCAGTGTGCCCTGAATGTGGGACATGGAGTCAAAGGAGATTATTTTGGAGCTTTAAGAGTTAATGACTACCTTGATGGGTTTCAAACTTGCATGGGGTGTATAGCCCCTTTCTTATGGCTGATTACCCCTTTTTGGAATGGGAATGTTTACCCAATGCCTATACCCCCATTGTATCTCAGAAGTAAGCAACTTGTTTTGATTTTACAGTCTCATAGGTGAAAGGAACTCATTTCCAGATAAGAATTTAGATATGGGACTCAGGACTTTAAGAGTTAATGCTAGAATGAGTTAAGATTTTGCAGGGACTATTGAGAAGGGATGACTGTATGTTAACATGTGAGAAGGACAGAAGATTTGTGGGGGCCAGGGACAGAATGATACAGTCTGAATATTTGTCCCTGCCCAAATCTTACGTTGCAAGGTAATCCCCAGCCAGGCTCAGTGGCCCAAACCTGTAATCCCAGCACTTTGGGAGGCCAAAGTGGGTGGATCGCTTGAGTCCAGGAGTTTGAGACCAGCCTGGGCAACAGGGCAAAATCCCACCTCTACCAGAAATATAAAAATTAGCTAGGTGTGGTTGCATGTGCCTGGAGTCCCAACTACTCGGGAGGCTGAGGTGGGCTAATTGCTTGAGCCCGGAGGTCAAGGCTGCAGCGAGCTAAGATTGCACCAGTGCACTCCAGCCTGGGCAACAGAGCAAGACCCTGTCTCAAAAAAAAAAAAAAAAAAAAAAAAAAGGAAGGGAAAAAAATGTAATCTCCAATGGGACCTGGTGGTAGGTGACTGGATCATGGGGGTGGTTTCTCCTTAATGACTTAGAACCATCCTCCTGGTTCTGTTCTTGTGATAGTGAGTGAATTCTTGTGAGATATGGTTGTTTAAAAGTGTGTAGCACTTCTTCTCTTTCACTCACTTGCTCCTGCTTTTGCCATATGACGTGCCTGCTCCCCCTTTGCTTTCTGGCATGATTTTAAGTTTCCTGGGGCCCTCCTAGAAGTGAAGCAGATGCCAGCACCATACTTCCTGTAAAGCCTAATGAACCATAAGCCAATTAAACCTCTTTTCTTTACAATTTACCCAGTCTCAGATATTTTTTCATAGACATGCAAGAATGGCCTAATACACAGCACAAATACAGTATGTTCCCATTTATGGTAATATTGGCTGTCTCTGGAAAGGGCCTGGAGTGGCAGTATACACCCTTTTGTACTGTTTGAGGTTTTTTTTTGTTTTATTTTGTTTTCCACATGCCTGTATTACTTTCAATTAGAAAAAGTAAAAGAAACCTATATACTGGTCAAGGAAAACTCACAGGTGTCTGGGCCAAGGGACTGAGTCATATAGGCTTGCAAAAACCTGTGTTAAGAATACAGAACACAAAGCCAGACACAGGGGCACTCAATAAATAGCTGGAGGAAGCAAAATATTTGGAATCAATTCAGAAGGCAGACCCTGGACAAAGAGATCTCTATCTGAGCACCGGATACTCAGTCAGCATAGCCCTTGCTTTACACAAGGAGCTAAGCTGAGACTGCTCACGTTAGAAAAGAAAGGGAGCATAAAAACCAAATATCCTGGAGTTACTTTGGGGCCAGCTGTTTCTCAGCATTCCTTTGCAAGCACATTGTGTGTCTTAACCTCAGCCTTCTAAGGGATGGGAGGCAAGTCCTTCCCCCAGTGAGCAGAGCCCACCCCTAGCACTCCTCTGGTGGTCCAAGTGCCCAGACAATCCTAGGCAGCCTTTCCTCCAGCCCCTCCAAATCAGAAGGAACAAAACGACTCTGACAGTTTCACTGCACTCCAAAGACAATCTCAGCACTTCAGCTCCTTTTCCACATCAAGGCTTCAGAAAAGAAAACCAAAAAGGAGGATGGATCGGTAAGCAAGATTCCTTAGCAGCATTTGGTAAAAGGAACTCCCTAGGTTATGCACAGATTCTGTCAGGTGCCAAAGAAGCCAGCAGCTCCAGAATGCAAAATGGACAGAGAAGGAAAGTGCTAAAACTCAAGACAGCCTCAGAAATTTCTCTTTGTTCCCTGCTTTATTTGGATATGCCTCCCTGAAGCCAGCTAGTTGGTCCCAGCTTCCAAAAAAGTTCGTTTGGCCACTGATACTAGGTCTAGGAGCTTCTGTGCTTGGCAGCCTTCTCTGGCTGCCTCTGGATACCTGGCTTGCATGGGGCAACCATGTAGGTTATCCTTCTGCAGAAACAGGCTGTGCCACAAGGTGCAAGCTCCAGAGACAGGATGGGAGTAAGGCAAAGCAAGGGCATGGAGTAGGACTGGAGTAGGAACCAACTTAAAGGCAGAGTCCTTTCCAGGAACCCATGGTTTCCAGAGCATAGGAGAACATGACTGGCTGTGAGAGGCAGAGTTTCTGGCTCTTGGACCCCAGACCAGGCTGTCTAGGCAGTGGAGGAAACAGAAGCACTTACCGGGGGAAGATGGCCGTCATCAAGGCTGAGGCATAGCCAGGCTTGCAAGCTCCCTCTGAAAAGTTTGCGTACTTGGTGGCTAATTCAGCAGGCCTATGGGAAGAGAAGGAAAGTTACAGCTTGCCAGGTACTGAGCACTGAGTGGGTTATTAATTCGTAAGGAGCTATAGGTGTTTGACTCTTGAGTGAAGCTTCATTCCTACAATCAGCACTTCAGGCATTTTTCCACATTAAGGCTTTAAGGGTAAAAACAAAATAAATCCCTAAACCCTAAAGGAATAGATAAATAAGTCAGGCCCCTGGATAGTATCTGTAAAAGGAACTTACCTGGATTCTCACAGATTTCTTTTTAAGAGACAGGGTTTCATTGTGTTGCCCAGGCAGGTCTTGAACTCCTGAGTTCAAGCGATCCTCTCGCCTCGGCCTCCCAAAGTGTTGGGATTACAGGCATGGAGCCACCATGCCCAGCTCATACTCACAGATTCTTTGCAGGAAGCCTGATACCAAGGAAATGAGGAGCTCTATCAAGGCTCCAATACCCGGGGGAGTGGTGCTTGGAGTTCACAGGATAGAGATACTCAGGCTTTGATGGTCAGAGCCCCTGGCCTTTCCACCTTCCTTGTATGTTCCTACATGGCCAGCCTCATCTGCTTTTATTCTCTCCATTCATGCTATGATCCACCCAGTAGGAACCATTCCCCAATAGTGGGAACTGTCCCAAACAGTGGCCGAATACAGACATGATAAATGTATGTAATTGGGGTTATTGATGTAACCATTAGACTTTTAGTTGAGGATGCTTTCCTGGTCTCTCTGCCTGGAATGTTATTCCTTGTCCTTCTTCATCTGGCTAATAACTACTGGTCCTTCATGATTAAGCTTAAATATCAGCTTCACTGGGAGTGATTCTCTGACCCTCGGATTGGGCTAAGTGCCTCCTCTGTGCTTGTACAGTCACTCCCCCTGCCCCTCACATCATATACTTACCCCCAGCACTTGCTATTCTGTATTGTAATTTTTGGTAGTATGTCTCCCTTGACACACTGTAAAATCCTAAGGTCAGAGTCTGATTTAACCCTGCCTACCCTCTCCAGTGCCTTGCATAAATGGGCACAGAGAAGACCCCTATAACTTTGTTAAGGAACAAAATGACCCTGAAAGTCTCACTGCAGACAACGCAATCTCAGGAACCCGCAAGGCCGAGACTGCTGCATATTTTTCACAGGACTTGTGTTCTAATCCTGGCTTGTTGCTGTGTGACCACAATCATGCCACCTCACATCTTTGGGTTTCAATGTCCTTATGCATTCAATTTGGGTCTGGAGTCACTGTCCTGCCACCAAAATCTCTGCACCATTCAGTCTAGAGAAGATCACAACCAAAGAACAGGATATAGTCAGTGAATGGGTTCTGTGGGCTGGAGGCCCTGCATGCTGGGGCACCTGAGTGAGCCCTGGCTGACTGCCAGTTCTGAGTCCCCACCTCCTCCACCCCCACCCTTGGGCCTGCTGCCAACACTCTGGTGCCCAGCTGCTCTACTGTGATGGGGCCCTGTGGGAAGCCTACCCTCCAGCCTACCCTCCTTCTGCAGGGTCTGGGCGGGTGGGTGTGGAGTGGTGGTACAAGAAATGATGATGCCACTGCCTACTGTCATGTCTGATTCACCATAGACCCCTCGGGCCTAGCCCAGAGCCTTACACAGAGTAACTGCTCATTGAACACAGACAAACTCATCTGATCAACGCACAATTTCTTTTAGAAATCTACATTTTCAAGCATCCCCCACCAAGGAAATTCAAAGCCTGAAATGCAACCTGAAGGCTGAGTGACAAGCCAAGGAGCTGGGACTTTATTTGGTAGGCAAAAGAAAGCCAGAATTTTAACAAGAGCAAAACAATCTTTTCTTACGTAAACAACTGTATTTTTGAAATGAAATATAAACCTCGGTGCAATTACAGAACTGATTACAAGCTTTTTGACTAGGCACAGTGACGAAAACGTTCTAGATGTTTTCAATTAGCTCTCTCAACAACTCTGTGAGTTGGTACTATGAATTAATTTGCACACAAGGCCTAGAAAGATGAAGAGACTAATCCAAGATCATACAAGTGGTAGACACTGGATTAGAACCCAAGGTCTCTAACACCAGTGCAGGAACTCTTAACAGGGCACTGCCACCAACACGGTCACAGAGGAAGGCACAGGACAGCAAAGGAGTGGTCAACACAGTTGGAGACAGGGTGGAGAAGACAGTCCAGAAGGTCTCACAGAGCTCTGGTCCGCGGCAGTAAGGCATTTTGAGTCTCTTCATGTCCTGTCTCCCAATCTCCCACCATCTGCTTGCCTGCCTCGTGCTGTGAGTTCCTGTGGTCTTTCTGAATTCTAGAAGGTTTCATAAACAGCAGAAAGATGGACAGCAGGTGCCCTTCTTAACACAGTGCAGTGCAGAAATAAACGCACAACGGACAAACCTTTGGCCACCTTTTTTCTCTCTAGTTTACCCCCTCAACTTTTGACAAGGTGCTTAAAGAAGAAGGGCTGTGGGACAGTCCAGGGGGCACAGGATCACGTCATCTACAATGGAGAGGGAGCTGGAGCCCAGCAGGCAAGGCAGGAGATACTGCTGCCTCCACGGCAGTGCAAGGCAGTTCAACATCAAGGATGATGGGCTCCAAATGAACCCCTCATTTAGAAAGCGACAGTAACTCCTGAAACATACAACTCTGGGTACAGTGGGTCATGTCAAGTTATTACCAAATTAAAATGCCTTAGAAATGGCCTCCTGACTATCCCAGTGAGAGAAGAATAGGGGGAGTGTTGGGGATTCTGAGTCATCCAGCAGGCTGGGACCTCTAGGGCAGTTAGCGGTCAAAACCACCAAGATTAACTGTCGCCAACTCCCTGGGGCCAGAATAGTTAGTCTCTCTAAGGCACTCACACTCCAAATGCCAGCAGGCCCCCACAGATGTCTGATCAAATCACTCAGCCCTTGTTCTTCTCCTACTCTGCAGCTGGCCTTTCATTTTGGGAGATTTAGCATTAAACCCAGTAAGAGCACCCATTGTCCTGCAAATGTGACTACCAAGCCCCTGGGGTGAAGAGTGTCACCACTGCACTCACAAGAGGAAATCCAGATGTACAGGCTGGAGTCCCAAAGAAGGAACCAGACGCTTCCACTCTCCTGCTTCACTCAGGAGGAACGAGTTTAAGGAATCAGGCCAAGCAATGGGTCATAAATGGGAAAAGCATCAGATCTGGAATCAGAAACTTTCACAGAGGACACTGAAAAGCAAGTGATGGAAAATCTGATTTTCAGCTTCCCCATGTGCAGTGGAAACCACGTAATTCCAACAATCGCATGAGGATGTGGTGAGGGAGCACATTTGGAGAGGATGCCTATCCTCTGGGGTGCCACACACACGCTGTGTGAGACACGTGGCTGCCATGAGCGCCTGGCGGCTTGGGTTCAGATCCAATCACAGGGAGAGTCACCACATGATATCCAGTGGGAGGGTGCCCTGGCTGACGTGTGTCTGAAGGATCAGCATTTGGGAGGCGAGGAGTAGCACTGCAGGAGGCTGAAAGAGCAGGAGAGTGTGATGCTGCAGTGAACGAAGTATCACAGGAAGGACGCAGAGACCAACTGCATCACACACTGTGCAGGTCCAGTAAGGTGTGGCCACAGGACTAACTGCTGGATTTGGCAACAGGGAGGTCACCACCGACCTCAACAATAGCCATTCCACTGGAATGTGGAGGTGAAACTCGTTTCACTGGGTTTAAGAAAAAACAGAAGGAGAGAAACTGAAGTCATGAAACACAGACTATTTTTAGGAGTTCTGTTACAAAGCAACAAAGAAATGGGGCAATAGCTGGAGTGGGGAAGCAGGGTAAATTGTTTTTTGAGGTTAGGAAATATTTTCCTAAGTTTAGAAGCTGGTTAGAATAAAAGAAAAACTCACGATGCAGTAGAGATAGGACAGTTGTAGGGAGAATGTTTCTTTTTGTTGTCTGTTTGTTTTCTGAGATGGAGTCTCACTCTGTCGCCCAGGCTGGAGTGCGGTGGCGCAATCTCGGCTCACTGCAACCTCCACCTCCCAGGTTCAAGGGATTCTCCTGGCTCAGCCTCCTGAGTAGCTGGGGTTACAGGCGCCCGCCACAATGCCCGGCTAATTTTTGTATTTTTTGGAGACAAGGTTTCACCATGTTGGCCAGGTTGGGGGAGAATGTCTTTGAGAAGGCAGAGGGGGAAAGGATCTAGCACAAAAATGGAAGGGCTGGCCTTAGCTCTACTCCCTTAGCCTGCCTTGGCCAGAGACGCCTATTCTCTAAGCACCACTTCCCTTGCGAACTTTCCATGATGCTTCCCTTCCCAGGTAGAATAAACTCATCCCCCTGTGGACCTGAGCTACCTGGGGCAGACCTTCATCTTCGCTTGCTCACTTATTCCCCTACTCTCCTACTGCCTTCCCCTTTCTGCCTCTCATTTCTCCTGCAACAAATATTTAGAGACAATGAAGACACTCTGCTTGGATTTTTATCCTGGCTCTCTTAATAGCTGTGTGATTTGGGGCAAGTCTTTTAAATTGTTTTGTGCCCTTAATTTCCACAACTTTAAAACTGGGATTACACTAGTACTTATTTTATAAAATTTTTTGTAACAGTTACGCTGAGAAAGAAGGGCTGGCACTGAGTATGGTGCCTGGCCCCTTGTTGGTGTTCAGTACATGCTAACTAACTGGCCTGGGATTAAGGATACAATGATGACTAGGACATAGTTAAGGCCTAGCATTACACTTCATTACACTGAAGAGTAATTGTCTATTTAAATATCTTTCATAGAATATCATCATTTAGCATAGCATATATGGCACAGAGTATACAAGTACCCAATAAAATGCTGGACTGAAATCAGTTGGTTACCTTGCCTTGGAAGGTTAATCAACAGGAAGTGTAAGGGGGAAGTAGGGTGATGGCCAGAGAAACTGGGAAAGGGTCATTGATGGTTATTCCTGAGGACTCTACAGATCAGTGATGGACATCATGTAACCAACAGTCTAGTTTCTAGAATCACTGCAGAGAGGACTGGACTC